AATGAGGATAATCCTCAAGTTACGGACCCCGTCCATGTAATTGCTACCATCATCTTTCAACTTTGCTTTCTCAAGGAACACATTAAAATTCAACGGAACAACAACACGGGCCATCTATCTACAACAACATAGATAAGAAAAATACTATCAGGTACTAAGTTCATGATAAATTTAAGTTTAATTAATCATATTACTTAAGAACTCCCACTTAGATAGACATCTCTCTAATCATCTAAGTGATCACGTGATCCATATCAACTAAACCATAACCGGTCATCACATGAAATGGAGTAGTTTTCAATGGTGAACATCACTATGTTGATCATATCTACTATATGATTCACGCTCGACCTTTCGGTCTCAGTGTTCCGAGGCCATATCTGCATATGCCAGGTTCGTCAAGTTTAACTCGAGTATTCTGCATGTGCAAAATTGGCTTGCACCCGTTGTAGATGGACATAGAGCTTATCACACCCGATCATCATGTGATGTCTCGACACGACGAACTTTGGCAACGGGCCTGGTACCCAGTTGTGTGACATGCATATATGCATATGTGAGCTCCCGTTGCTCAACGTTTGCTTTAGTATCTGCTATGAACAAGAATAAAGAGAATCATTTTGTGGTTCTTAAATTTCAACTCAATCTTGTGTTCATATGCCTGGTGGTTTTATAGCCTTGTTGTTATCCTTTTCCAAAAAAAAGCCTTGTTGTTATCTTATGCATTGCTTGTGACCCTCACAAGTGTTCCTCGATCCACATATTCGATAGTGTACTTGGAAAGAGGTCACTGCTATGTTGTCAGTATATTTAGGATAGCAAACCCCTGCAAGAGGACGAAGCTCTACCAGGTTCAACACAACCATAATTTTCAAGAGGGACAAAAGCCCTAGTGATCCATAGCACCTCGCCTATTTTGTCCATCGTAGTCGTCAAGTTGTGTATCAACTCGCTAGATTTCCACATTGTAACCACAATTGTACTCTATCCCGAGATATAATCCAAGCAAAGCAGGAATAGGGCTATACCCACCCCAAAAGGGCTCGAGCCTGGATAAATCATTGTCTCTAGAGATCCATGGTGACCCTAGCATACCTTTGTGATCAAAAAAATCACGTGCAAATATTGTCACGTGATGGGGCACCAACATAATTTTCCTCGACATGTAGCAAGTACATGAGAGTAAGAAAACTTTGGGCAAGGTTACTCAAATGCATATTTGATCTCATTGTTTAGATATCCTACATGTTAAAGGAATTATTTTTTACTTCATGAAGCAAATTTATTTCTCTAGATGATCTAAACATCATCTAGCCATTGCTTTTATTGAACTCTTCTCATTACCTGGACCAATATTTGGGGAACTCCCGCGTGCTGCTGTAAAATCCGATGAAAACTACGGCCTACCTCACCATATGACTTTAATTATATATAATAACTTAATATCATGTACAAACAACATGTATGATCATTATCAACAAAAAAACATGTATGATAATTAAGATAAGAATTTTAGATATAGCATATCAATTATTCATTCATAAATTGAAGATGATTAAAGATGTTAGACACATGTGTCAATGAGTAATAATGTACGGGGTACACCCTACGGGTTTGATAGACAGAGACAACCAAAGAGTGTCTAGAGACACCTACGCACACCCTGCGGCCCACACTAGTCGCGCAAGAGTAGAGGACAAGGATGGACATGCTATGTCCGGGTGATCTTTTCCTCATGAGTCGCCTCGAAGATAGTTCTCATGTTACCGGTAGGGGTCAACATGTGTAAAGACCTCGCCAGGAATTGCCTAAGATCAGCACCTTCTGCGAGACTACACTGATGTGACCTAACTTTCTATGGATCCAATCTATACTTTATAAAATGCCAATTCATGTAGGGATATTACCCATAGGACCCTAAACCTAGGTAAAAGCACGATGTATCTATTGTCTCCAACGAGATCCTTTCGAACACCACCCCTTTCTTTGTCATTCTTTACGAGACTTCGACACTACTAGGAAAAGGGCTACTAATGGCGCACCAGTTTTGCCTACTAATGGCGCATCACTGGTGCGCCATTAGTATCACGCCACTAGTATTTTTTACTAATGGCGCAGCACTGGTGCGCCATTAGTATCTGGTATACTAATGGCGCACCACTGGTGCACCATTAGTATAGACCACGGTGCGCCATTAGTATAGGCCACTGGTGCACCATTAGTATAGGCCACTGGTGTGCCATTAATATTTTTGAATTTTGAAGGCGGAAAAATAGTAGTGGTGCACCGTCTAACCCCCACCGTGCGCCATTGCTATTTTTTAATTTTGAATTTGGATCTGGATCGTGATTTTTTTGCCCATTTTTTGCTCGTTTTTTGGCACGATATTATTTCAAATTTTGTTCCTGTTTTTGGATCTCGTACGTTCTTTTGCCGTGTTCTTTTGCCGGAGAGGAGTTCGCTGGAGAGGAGGAGGAGGAGGTCACCGGAGAGGCGCTCGCCTACATCGCCGGAGAGGAGGAGGAGGAGTTCGCCGGAGAGGAGGAGGAGGAGGTCGCCGGAGAGGAGTTCACCGGAGCATCGGAGAGGAGGAAGGAGAAACC